AGTTTCTCTAAGGTATAAAATGGTTTAATTGTAGATCTTCTCAGTATGGCCTCTTATCTCTTTCTGGAGTTTCATTTCAGATATATTTGTTACAAATGTTCGTTTATATTATTTTTCACTAAAAATATTGCTCCATGTTTTCTGCGACTATTATCAATAACCATGAGAAAGTAGAATGTAGCTTGTCCTTTAGGCTGTACAACATTTGGCTTGACTGCCTCTAAGTGATTGAGATCCATGCTAATTCAAGTCTTTCCATTCTCTGGCTTCCTCCAAGTATTCACATGCCTTGTCACTCTTCTTCACTAAGTGTGTATTGTCTTGGAAGTTAACATCTTTATCTAGGATTAGTAGGTGATATTAGTTGGAGAGATACAAATTATGTATAACACACACACACACACCACACACATATATATCATATTGCTTCTTCTAATTTTATTTAGCCATTTTATAGAAACTATATACCACCTTCAAGTTTGATCTTGGTTTCTGATGTAGGCGCATGGAACAATTGAGATGCCAAATCCCCCTCCAGAGCTCTTAATCTTCGAGCCTTTTATCAGGACCGATAATATAATTGTTTCATCAAAATCTAGAAATGAAAAGGGGCATCAGATCTTGTGGAGCGGAGAGAGTAGATGGGTTGAAATAACTGTCGGAGTTGTTGGAACACAAGGATCTATGCGCTCGCTGACTCCTAGCATCACAGTCAGGGAGAGTGGTGACATTTTAACACTTGAGGAGAAATTCCAAGGTAATCTTTTGTTGATTTTTTTCTTTGCCCCTTCGTTAATTTCCTGCTTACATGTTATTAATGATAAGTCGCTTGCATATGGCAGGTGGGACTGGCATCAATCTGACTCCACCTCCATCATCTATAATTAGGTTTGTCCAGAACCTTTATCCTCCTGTCACTGTTGTTAGTGGTGCTCTTCGTTCTCTGTTCTGCATTCTGGTATTCGAGTCAAAGATGTGTAGAAACTGCCGTTAAATAGGTCCATACAAAGGCAGTAAAACTTTTTCTCATACGCCAGATGTTTCAGTGTCATTCTTGGACATTTTATTCTAAACTGACTGATTTCATTTAAAATGCAACTTCCACACTACAGTTGCTTATTCCGTTCATATTGTATGATCCTCTCTCGTGTTTGACTTAAAAAGCTATTTTCCTTTTTGAGCTTTGCATGTTCGAATCATTAGTCTAATTTCTTTCTCCCCTCTTAAATCAGCAACGAGGCCTTGCAGAAATGTAAAAAACATATCGAAATAATTGCAAACAGTCTTGAATTAGAAGGATTTTCACGGATTGATGCATTTGTCAACGTGGACAGTGGAGAGGTATGATGTTTTTTCTCTGCTTAACTGATCGAGTTTGGAGTACTCTGCAAGAATTGTGCGCATGTTATTTGCTAACTCATTTTCATTCTGTTGTCAATTTCTTTCCGAAGGTCTTGATGATAGAGGTCAACACAGTGCCTGGAATGACGCCTTCCACTGTCCTGATTCATCAGGTACTCTATTTTTACTTAAAATTTTCTTTCGAGGGTTACTTTGCATCGATAATATTCTTCTGAGCCTGCAACAGAAACTAAATCGAACTATTTTGGTTTTGCATTCCATTAGAGGAAACACATTCGAAACAATTTGGTATTTCAAACTTATTGAGGAAGTTTAAAACCTGTTGAAAAGAGGATGATCAAATGCAATACTGTTTAGAGTGAGGATGTGTATTGAGGAAGGAGGAACTGCTAACTCGGTCGATATTTTTCTTGTCCGTTTCAATTTTCAGGCGCTAGCCGAGGAACCGCCCTTGTACCCTCATGAGTTTTTCCGGAAGCTGCTTGATTTAGCATTAGAGAGGACCGTTTATACGCCTGAGTAAATTACTGTCGATATCTCTGTTGTTTTCGTCTTGATAAACTCGTTTTATTGGCGATGGAGGGAACCCTCTCAACTGTGACCTTATGGAATGACCATATGTATTTGTTCACTCAATGTTCATGTTTGTAGTTTATGTAGTGAGAAGATGTTTGTAATAATATTGTAATGTCAACTGGCGTCTGGCAATTAGTCCTTTTTATTTATTATTGTTTTTTATGAAAATATATTTTAGAAAATAATAAACTTGCTAACCACTCATAGTCTCATTAGGTGGGTGGTTTTTTGTATTTTTTATTTTGTTGTGAATTTGTTTTTTCTGTTGAATCCCTAACGAGAGAAGGGCAATTTTGAAACTATGCACAAATTGTTTGGAAACAATGAGTTTTAATCCAATATACAAGTAAAAGTAAACAAAATATATGAGAAACCATACACCAGAGACCAAACTATTCATATATATATAGACCCCTTATGCAAAGTGTTCTTCATATTTTCAAAAAATAGGGATTTGGTGTGGGGCTCACTCTACATCGAACTTCAAGATTCGAACCTCGATTCACAGAATATCCTTGCAAAAATTCAATTTAATCTGAAACCATTTGCCTATATAATTATCAAGATAAAATTTTATTATTTCTTATATAACAAAGTACTCATTAATTTCTTTGAACCCAATTAGATGTCTTAAACATTTCCGATTTGGCTAATATTTTGCAAGGATAATCTATAAGGTGCAATTTGAAAAATAGCCGGTTTGGATCGTTAAAGTTTGATGTAGTATAGACCTCACTACTAATCCTCATTTTTTATCCCTTTGCATAAAGGGTTTGTGTGTGTGTATATATATTATAATAGATTTTGCATGAAAAAGTATATTTTGAAGAGTATAAATACGATAGTTTGTTGTAGTAGGTAAGAGAAATTAAAAAAAAAAAAAACAAAACAAAAATTATTCAAATTCTTTAGGGTGACAGAAAGTCACGCGTGCAATATACAAGTAAAAAGTAAACAAAATATATGAGAAACTATACACCAGAGACCAAACTATTCATATATATATATATATATATATTATAGTAGATTTGGCATGAAAAAGTATATTTTGAAGAGCATAAATATGATAGTTTGTTGTAGTGTCAAGAGAAATAAAAGAAAAAAAAAACAAAAATGATTCAAATTCTTTAGGGTGGCAGAAAGTCACGCTAAGTTGTTCATATGCGACCTCCTATCTTTTAGCTCAAGTCTTCGTTGACCAGCGAGATGACGATGATTGGTGACATTGTGGCAGCCAAAGTCATGTGTGATTTTCTGCCACCTAAAGAATTTGAATCACTTTTTTTACATTTTTGTTAATTTTTCTTACCACTACAACAAACTATCATATTCATATTCTTCAAAATATATTTTTCCCTGTGTGGAGCCCGACTCTTTTTTCTGAGCCCAGGGAGTTCACCTTGTTCTGCATACGAGTTGTCCACATCATTTTGCGTGTCAGAAGCCCGCCCCTTTTTGTGTCCACGAAGACTGCGTCGTTTTGACGTGCACAGAGCCAGCCTTGTTTTCCGTGTACAGGGCTTGTCTCGATTTGTGTGACGTATCTTGCCTTGTTATGTGCACAAGCGTTTTCCATGCTAGAAGCCCACGCCATTTTCTATGAGTAGAGCCTGCCTTGTTTTGCGTGTCATGGTTCGTCTCGTTCTACATAAGTTGAGTCCATCTTGTTTTGCATGCATTGAGCCCGCCTAATACCCATGTTTTTTGACAAAATTTTTTTATCCTTGCAAAATATTTTTCCTGAGCATTAAATTAAACTTTTTAAGGAATTTGGAAGCAATTTTACAGTTTATTGAGCAACAAATTCATTTTAGTGGAATATTTGAGTCGAAAACTAAAAAAATTAGTGAAAAACATAATAGTGAGTCCTTGAACATTGTCAAATGGGGTTCAACACTCAAGAATTTCAACAGAAAGTCTCAGCTTAATTTTCAAAACTTCACAGGAGGGCGAAGGTGAAAATAAATAGATTGAATGGTGATTTGTGTATGAATTTACAAAACCAATTGAAAACTGTGAGTGTTAATCCACATTTTTTTTTTTTGTAAAAAATGTGAAAAGTAAAATAATAAGTGAACAATATAAAGATGTTAAAATGCATATTTAATTTTTTTTTTTTTTAATATTAGAGTTGTTAAACTCACTTGTGGGTGAGGTTTAAACAAAAAATAGCAAAAATTTTGTTTTGTTAAATAGTCTTTCACCCTCTTTTAGTTGACAAAAAAAGTTTTATTAATACGCCTACCTATTGCCAATATTAATCTTCTCAGAGAACCAATTTGATATGAAAATGTAACCTATCCAGAAAGAGTTAAAGTAATTTATCAAATTTTAATTTTGAATAAATTTAAAATTTAAAACTTTGGAGAAAAAATAACAAAAACTAAAAACTCCAACGTTAGTGGTTTCATGGTTATGCTTCATTTTTTTTTTAAATAAGTTTTTAATAAAATTATAAATTAGTTATTTAATTAAAAAATTTAAAAGGCATAATCTAATATAAAAAAGTTAATTGCTAAACGCGTATGCATGCAGCAAGAGACTAATTACTGTAAAATATCAAGATATTCAATTTGTTTTTGTTGTTCTTAACTGCCGAGACAAACAAATTTTGTAAAATAAAACGAGCGTGTGGCAAGAGGCTAGTAGTTGTAAAATGTAAGAAATTCATTTTATTTCTGTTGTTCTTAACTGCCTAGACAAACGAATTTTGTAAAATAAAACCGACAATTTATTGTTTACAACGGCTCACATTTTTGTTAGAAATACCAAACAAGTTAAAAACATTCCTGTTGTTAACTTGTTATTTGTTTCAAAGAGGCTATTTTAGGTGGCTGCGGGTCTGTTGTTACAAAACTCCCCAGTCTCCAACCCTCCCCACCACCCCCACCCCAATCCACTCAGCCCTGAAAGCCACTAAGCCGGCCACCCCTGCCTTACTGGTCGCCATCCCACAGCCCGCAAATCCGACGCTGTCCGAAGACGTTGACTCTTCAGTGGGATCGGCGTCCTCGGCAGCAAACTGGAAACACCCGAGGCTGTCCGAAGACGTTGACTTTTCAATGGAATCGCCGTCCTCGGCAGCAAACTTGAAATACCAGACGCTGTCCGAAGATGTTGACTCTTCAGTGGAATCGTCCTCGGCAGCAAACTGGAAACACTCGGTCCTGTATTTGTCATTCCTCTGCTCAGTCATCTACTTTTTTCAATCCCAAATCTCTCACAATTTGCTAATCGGCCATCGGCCTGTCAGAGTAAAAAAAACCAGCCCAGATCTTCCTCTTCGTTTCCGGTCCGACGGAACCTTCAAAATCCTGCAGGTAATTTACTCATCGTATTCTTAAGCTTATACTGTATGATCTATAAGATTAACTAAATGATTAGGATTTTAATGGGGTTTTCGTTAATTAAGGTGGCTGATATGCATTACGGGAATGGAAGGTTGACTCGCTGCCGAGATGTGTTGGACTCCGAGTTTGACCGGTGTTCTGATCTCAACACCTCCCACTTCCTGAGGAAGATGATTGAAGCTGAGAAGCCTCATTTCATTGCTTTTACAGGTACATTTTTTTGTTTCTCCGACATAAAAATGTTTTATGATTTTTTGTTTTGTTTTTGTTTTTGTTTTGGTTGGCTATCTGAGTTTTTAGGTGTGTGTGTATATATATATATATATATATATTTTTTTTTGGTGGATATTGCTCCATGATAATTTGATTAAGATGGTAAACCAACTTAATTGGTTATCAAAGATTAATTAAACATCTAAACCAAGAAAAACAGTCATATCAAAGTCCACAAGGATGAATGCTTAAAACTAAAACTTGTTGATTATCTCTAGGTTATATATTAGGTGCAGCTCTTGCCTCTGGACCGTCATAATTTTTTACCTTCTATACCAAGGCCTAAGTTCTTCATGCAGCACATTATTGACGAGGTGGCAAAAAGTTAAATGTGGTCTTAGTTGGTTTAGGAACAGAATTTTTTGCCATTCTACCGTACCATACTATTACCATACCGATTTTGTGCCATTTTGTATGCCAAACGGTAATTTTATCGAACCAAAGATATTTGGTATGGTATTGGTATCCAAATCCTACCGAATATATATATATAGAGGGAATTGTAATATAATACTGATTACTAACATTTATCTTTAATATATTTCATTTAGTTTGCAACTTGAAGTCTTCGACTTCTATTTGATTTGGTTTGGTTTGTAACCCTAATATCTTTAATCCTTGATGCATGGTTTGACTCGCAAAATGTGAGTGTGAAATAATGATGAATCTTGGTTGTATAAAGCAAAAATCGTTTTGGGCCTGAACAAAAAAATAATCCTATAGCAAATTGGTACAACACCATTACCATACATGTCAACCGGATTTTATGACAAACCGAAATTTGGTATGTCAATGATACTAGATTTTGTCATACCAAGAGTTTGGTATGATAATTGGTACGAGGATTTTGGTACGGTAACCATATCGAACCCACCCAATTCATGCATTCAATGAAACCATAATCCGGTAAACTTAATTCCTCAGTTATGCAAGTGTTCCTAAGTGAATGTCGGCACCAATTACCTGAAAAGAAAGCCAACTGTACTTATAGTTTACAATGTGTTATGGCCCAACTTTCAACTGCAGACGCATACACAAGTATCGGTTTTGACTCGGTTCTTGCAAACAGGAGATAATATATTCGGGTCAAGCTCTGTTGATGCTGCTGAATCCATGCTTAGAGCATTTGGTCCTGCCATTGATTCAGGAGTTCCGTGGGCAGCAATTTTAGGAAACCACGATCAAGAATCTACGATGACACGTGAGGAACTGATGTCTTTTATCTCACTTATGGATTATTCAGTTTCGCAAGTTAATCCATTAGCTGAGGATCTCTCTAAAGGAGGAAGCGCGAAAAACATTGATGGATTTGGCAATTATGATCTGAGAGTATATGGTGCCCCGGGATCCTATTTGGCAAACACAAGCATCCTCAATCTTTTCTTTCTTGACAGTGGAGACAGGGAAACTGTTGAAGGAGTTCAAACTTACGGTTGGATTAAGGAATCTCAACTCCATTGGCTTCGTGACGTTTCTCAGGGATTTCAGGTATACTTTCAACAAATGCAATGCATAAGAACAATGCGGCTGCATTTTGTTTCATTTGTTCTGATGATTATGAATTGAATTGAGAAACTTTTCATACTTGCTTGGTAAAGTGAAATTTTCATTAAAATTCACATATTCATTTCCGTATTTAGTGGAAATGTGTTCCCTATGTTTTCAAAAAACATTAACAACCCCCCCACTCTTGTTTGCAAAATTGCAATTCCATACCTGCATCAAGTTGTTCATCCTGTATTTTGTATGATTTGCTCATCATGTTCGTCCTTTCCCCACAAGGGAGGTTTCGTTAGATTTAGATTTCATTAACATGTTGCAAGAAACACACTAACAGGGCCACATTGGATATCTAGATCGCTCAGCAGAGGCTTTTCCTCCGGACAAACCACCAGCGCTTGTATTTTTTCATATCCCAATTCCAGAGGTCCGGCAGCTGTGGTACAAAAAGATAGTTGGCCAGTTTCAGGAGGCTGTGGCATGTTCAAAAGTGAACTCAGGAGTTTTGCAGACCCTTGTATCCATGGGAGATGTGAAAGCCGTGTTCATGGGACATGATCATACCAATGACTTCTGCGGGAATCTTGATGGTATTTGGTTTTGTTATGGTGGGGGCTTCGGGTACCATGGTTATGGAAACGCTAGGTGGCCAAGGAGAGCAAGGGTCATATTGGCAGAACTTGGGAAGGGAAAGAAAGGCTGGATGGGCGTTGAGAGGATTAAGACATGGAAGCGTCTAGACGATGAGAAACTGAGCAAGATTGATGAGCAAGTCTTGTGGAAATATGAACCATCAGGATAGTCCCGATTCATAAGGTATCCTATTTCTACTAAAAAAATTCTTTTGAGCCTGCAGTGGAAATTAAATCGAACTTTTTGGTTTTGCATTGCAATCGAGGAAACACGTAATTATTCAAATAATCACTAATTGAAAAAAAATTGGTATTTCAAACCGTTGAGGAAGTTTAAAACCTGTTGACAAGAGGATCATCAAATGCAATACTGTTTAGAGTGAGCATGTGTATTGAGGAAGTAGGAAATGCTAACTAGGTCGACATTTTTCTTGTCCGTTTCAATTTTCAGGCGCTAGCAGAGGAACTGCCCATGTGCCCTCACGAGTTTTTCTGTACACTGCTTGGTTAGTCCGACCCTAGAATCGAGTGAATGGGGAGTACCACAGTAGACCTTGTGAATATAAATGAAATTCATCATGTTATTACTTATAATCCAAGTGGGGAATTATGTACGGTTCTTTAATTAAATTTGTGAAATGATTTGTTATTTCATTGATTGATTAACTTAGTTTGACGTTAATACCGTGCATCTTTGATTCATGGATTTGATTAATTGACGTGATTGTGGAGTGTCATTGGATATGATTGTTATTAATACGATTAGATTAGTTGATCAATGTGACTAGAGGACACTATTGTGCTTTGTTGATTCTTTGATATATTACATGCTATGAATTGCGATTTTATGTTGAAACATAGTTATTTATATGATGGATGAAATATAAACCTTGATTGTCATGTGGGTTCGTTATGTAGCTTGAATCGAATAATTCATGCTTGTCAAGTCCAAATGATTGATTGAGGAATGTTATACCTTACGGCTTGAACGGACTGTGATGTATGTCGAATTGTAGCGAAGGGTGAACTACGAATGGCTTGATCCCCTTTTAGGGTACGTAGGCAGTCTAACGAGGAGGCTAGATGCATCCATAAAGTATACGAAAAATTACAATGCGATTCGATTCTCGAGTTATGCTTTGCCATTTCCCAGAGGCAGGGTATGTTAGATGTACATGTAATCGGTGATGTCACATGTCGATCTTGGATGTATGTTGGGATCGGGATGTGACAGTTTATACGTCTTAGTAAATTACTGTCGACATCTTTCTGTTATTTTCGTCTTGATAAACTCGTTTTATTTGGGTTGAAGGGTACCCCTCTCAACTGTGACCTTATGGAATGACCATATGTATTTGTTCACTCAATGTTCATGTTTGTAGTTTATGGAGTGAGAAGATGTTTGTAATATAGTAATGTCAACCGGCTGTCAGGCAAATTTACACCGTTTTCGTTTCTTTTTCTCATGTAAATATTGTTTGTTTTAATGAATAACATGCTGTGATTACATTCAGAAGGCGAATGTTGTGGTAAAAGAATGCCTTTTTTGTTTCATTTGGATTGTGGGTGAACTTTTTGGGCTACATTTTATGTCATCCTTTTCAGTGCTTCTTGCGTTTTGACTTAGATATCATCACTACCTAAAACTTAAGATATATCGTCACTGCCATTATAGGATCCGGTCTGTTGCAACCACTAATACCCTGTTTGAGATTGGTCCTATAAGGGCTAAAAGTGATTTTCAACAACCATAAGTGCTTCTAACTACACTCGGTAGAAAATTTTAAACGCACGTCTTGGAGAAGCATGCGTTTCATGAAAATTTTCTATAATACTAAAATCACTTTTAGCAAATATCGTTACGACCAGAAGTGCTTTCTGCAAAAGCAATCTCAAATCAACGTTAAGATTTTGGGTTCGAAAGAATTGGAGTTTCATCTTACAGTGAACAGCAATCGGACTTGGGAGTTGTTACTATCAACAAAGATTTGAGGGGAAAAGAGACCTCATTACTTAATCAATACCAAACGTAATACATGCCATGAATTAACCTCAAACCTTCTAATCTTCTCCTCTCCTCGGGGACCAAAAGATAGCAACAATGAGCGCCTATCTGTTTCGACAGATAAGATCAAATTCTCTAGGTTAGTGGATGAGAAACGCATCGACTGATATTCCACTCCATTCCCTGCGTTCCATTGGTACCAAAAGGCCAGTTGTGACCGTGGTATTAAATCGATGCAGCTTAGTTTTTGTGCTGTTTTTATTAAATCCTGCAAAACAATCCAAAACTTTCTTGACTCCATTTTCCCTCGATGTACTCTTCCATCAGATAATTAGAATGCACGAAGACATTTCAAACCGGTAATAGGTTTGTCAAAACACTTCTCGAGAACTTGGTTAGATTAAACTGTTTTTTTGCTGTCTGTAAGCTGCAGATCTTTTTATCCTTCTTTTTTGGTGGGAACTGGGATGACATATGTCACTAGTTGAAAGACCAGAACTTGTGAAGGACTTGGTAAAGACAGAAGATAGACAACAAATTTCAACATCAATGTACTGATATGTATGTGTTCCACTGTTCCTCTCTGATCATCAGTAGCCACAGCAAGATCTTTTGAATTCATAGGTAACAATTCTCTCTTTTCTGGATTTCAATGAATTTGATCATGGGTTTTCACCCTAGTGATGTCTACTTTAGCCTTGCCTAGTGTAGTGATTCAACTTCCATGGTGAATGAATTTTTAGTTTGTAATCTTCTTTTACAAGAAGGAATTTTTTTGAGTTTTGTCCATTGTTTGTTTCGAACTCTTCATCTTATGTTTATGATTTTTGGGACTCTGGCATTGAATATCTGATGTAATATTAAGATATTGAACGTGATTCCATGAACTTGTAAAAGATACCGATCGAGGTACAGTCTGGTTCAGCATTCTGAATTGCAGTTTCTTTCGGAATGCAAGAGATTCATTGTATAAATTTCAGTTTTGGCTGCAATGTGACTCCAGCTGTGGTAGTAGGCATAAAAGAGATTGATTAAAGACTTAACTTGAGAGTGAAGTACCACTAAGATGGTTACGACGCTGATGACAACAATTTGCTTTGTTTTTCGAAATCACAAAAGGGACGGCTTACTTAGTGACAAAAGGTCACAGAACATATGAAATATCAAGTACTGCACCTTCTTCAAATAGGCAAGGTTTTCGACAACGTTTCAACGGGATTCTTTCTCAGAAGATTGATTGGCCATCCCCGAGTAAAATCTGCAGAAAATGGATCAAGAATCATCTGAATATGGCACTCCTTTTGTGGATAATTTGTGTTGCTGTCTCCGGAGCAATCATTTTTCTCGTGATGACAGGAATGTTAAACCATGTCCTACCGACGCAGTCACAGAGAAATGAGTGGCATGAGATTAACAATCAAATTCTCAATGCTCCCTTCACTCTCATGAATATTTATCATCACCCGAAAAGGATATACTGTAAGAACGGAACTTACAAGCCCCGTGAACAGATGAACATTATGGTCGTTGTTGTGTTACTCCATCTGGATTGCTTTGCTCAGTATGCCTTGTGTGCGCTTAACTTGGGATACAAGAGATCTAAGCGACCGCCTATTGGTGTTGGTGTCTGCCTTTCAGTTGCAATTGCTGCTCCTGCAATTGCAGGTGTGTACTGCATTGTCAGCTCCCTTGGCACGGAGTATGAAGTTGATAGCGAATCGCAGGATCATATTCTCACAAACCGAACATTTGAATCTAGAAATGAGCAAAAGATTGCTGAATTTGAACCCCAATGGAGAGGGGGTTTATTTGATTTTCAAGATGATATTGCAACATCACATCTTTCTTTTTTCTGCTCCTTTGTGTTTTCGGGTGGAACACCGATAGGCTTGGATTTGGCAACATGTATGTGCACACTGCAACATTTCTCCTCTTCCGCACAGCCCCATTTTGGATCCTCAGTTTGGCTGCCTCCCATATCGACAACGAAATTGCAAGAGAAGGCTTGATTTTAACTGGCATTGTCGTTTTGTATATCTGGCTTGCTGTACGGTGGCTTCTGGAGAATCCAAATGAGGAAGAGATTCAACTTGCCGGCGAATAACTTACGCTGTGGAAAGCCTGCAGTAACAGACTTTGATGAAGCTCCTGTTTCCTCTAAAATACAGAGAGAAGAAAATATCGAACCGAAGACATAAAAAGCAAGGAACTAGTGATGAAGCTCTCGGAAGAGTGCAGGCACTATTATGTGTTTTTGATAAACATAAAACTGTTTGAATCTTAATATATACTTCCTAGTTCCATCATATCCTCTCGTATGTCTTCAATCAACTTTACCTGTAGTATGTTGCAATGAACTATAAAGTATACTGCACCTTTAATACATATTGGAAATTTGTTTCACGGGTAGAGAATTTGGCAATCAGTACACCCTCTGGCACTACTGTTGTGTGTAGAAAAATTATGAAAAACGTAATTTGGGGGGCCGAAATTACTACTCTTATTTTATCAGAAGAGAACTTAAGTATTGAAAGCTAAACTGGGTATACCGAAATCGCTACTCCTATTTTATCATTGGAGAATCAAAGGTATCAAAGATAAATTGGGAGTACCGAAATAACTATCCTTATTTTCTCGACGGCTAACTCACCGTGGTTTGGCTGGAAAACGGCTCGAAAGTGACTGTCTTGGTCTCGAGTTAGTCAATTTCGAGCCATTTTCCCACCAAACCACGGCGAATTAGACCTCAAGAAAGATACCATTTTCTTTGTCTCATTGAGAAGTATGATTTTCGTTTTTGAATCACTCGATTTCGTTGAGTATTGAAGAAGTTATGAATGTTTAAAGTTTACCCAGTTTCCGGCAAGTTTTCTAGTTTTTACGTGGACCAGTCATTTTTCAGGCTATTTTTCGGCCAACTCCGGTAACCATCTGGCTTCCAAATAGGTATAATCATGTTTTACACTTTCCTATCTTCATTTTGATATATTATGGGTCAAATTTGGTTAAGAAACGATTGAGTTACGAAGTTTTGAAAATTGCCTAAACTTTCGGCCAAGAGCTCGGGACACTTAATGGAGTTTTTAACGGAATGACCAAAATAATGAATGGTGGACAATCTCAGAGACCATTTCTATTGATTTTTAATCTCAGGGATCAAAGTGGTGTGTTATGCAAATTTCGGGGACCATTTTAACTAAAAAGTCAAATAAACTTAGCATGAACCTTTTTCATAAAAGTATCTTTTTTTTTTTTTTTTTTTTTTTTTTTTTTTTGTCAAAAGGAGATTTTATTAAACAACAACCACATAAATTACAAGCAAACAAGGCACAAGACACACCTATTAACAAACAAAAAAAGGGCCTAAGACTAAAAAACAAACAAATAGAGAAAGAGCCCACATAAATAGTAAAGCCCAAAAAACTGCATTGCAACCGAGAAATTGAGAAGCTTCCACTGCCATTCCACCATCAGCATTCTAGTCCATTCAAGCAAAACCCAATCCATCGTCGCCGAGTAATACCTCACTAGACGCCATCTCCGACCCCGAAAAGTTACCTGAGCACAATCATATAAGCAGGGGATAGTCGGTAATAGAGTGAGATAAGCCAACTACCTGTATGAAGCTTGAGGAAACCCACAAGCAACACTCCGGGAACCAGCAGATAACAAAGAGAAAGTGGTGGTATTGGAAACACCCAAGCCGGAGTAAACTCCAAAACTCTACACACGATCTTAGTAGGAAACATGGCTGAAGATTGGACCATGGGATAGCCGGATGAGAAATACCTTTGGGGATAGAAGAATTGAGCAAACTAGATTTAAGGAGAAACAATAGTAAAAGCAAAGAGAGAAGAAGAAAAGGGGAGAGAAGAGGACACGACAACTGACTCCAGCCGAAGCTAGGGCCGGTGTCACTTGAGAAACATAGGTTTAAAAGTCTTACACAAACAGTGAGAATGACTCTCAGTGTGAAGAGAAAATCTCTCACCTCGGAGAGAAAGTTTGAGAGGCGGACTTTTTCTGATAAGGGAAAAAGATGGGAGTTTTACTGTGCTTGTTTTTACTGCAGTAAATAAAGGAGAACTACATCTTTATTCCTTTTTAACCACACAAAATATGCATGCATAGAGCTAATATCACTATGATTTTGGTGACAACTCGCAAAATCCCCTAATTAATGGTCGTGATGCTGCTGAGGAGTAAACTCGGGTTCCAGCCTATGGTGTAGGATGAAGAAAGTTGAGGTTTCATCATAGAATTAATTGGTAATATGAGGAGTAGCGTCCAACTTACTCATAAGCTTATGCAAAGTCCTTCTTCCTATCAATGTGACATTCATTCTCAACAAGTCTCCTCACGTGTGGCCAATTTTTAAGCCTAACACGTGGACAACACATAAAGTGTGAAGCCACGAAGAAACTTAATGTTTCACCATAAACCAATTAGCAATATAAGGAGTAGCCCAATTTACTTATAAGCCTATGCAAAATCATTCTCCCGTCAATATGAGATTCATTCTCAACACAGGACATTCTTATCATTAAAAAGATCGTACAAACTAAGACGTCAACAATTCATCAAACAATTAAATAAATGGTTCCATTTTGAAGAAATTGAAGTGCTTAAACCAAGCTTATGAAACATTAAAATGGGATGACAACTTAAGAATTCGGTCGTATTAGTTTGTTGGGAGAGTCGGGTAAAGGGGATCACACTGGAAGATTTCTCTCCGAGTCTCTAATAGGCAATTGAGTCGGGATAAAATGAAATGGTTTGACTACAAACCTATTTATAGACAACCAAATGTTACCATTCAATATATGTAACTCTTGTTGAATGGATGTAATCATAATAGAGTGTAACCATCCATTCAAGGATTGTACCTCTATATACATTCATCGTATCCAGTTCAATATTTGAGTGACGTATCTCTTCACTATAAAACAATACCCATTTTTTTAAAGTCACGCATCTTAGCAAATAGGCGTATCTTTTTATGTGAAATTACCATCATATGGATCATTATTATTTCATCAGATGCATTCATTTCATATTCAGAAGTAAAGTTTTGAATTTATTAATGACAAATTGGAATTTTTTTTTACCAAGGATGTTTTCATTAATCAAGAATGAAAGTTGGATCTTCAAAAACATTTTTACGAGTTGTTCCATTTCATCCGATAAACTACATTTCAATTTTTCTTAACACATCCAAATCATGCACAGTTCGAACTCAAACCTCAAACCATAAGTACCCCTTATTTAATTTTTCTCCATATCCCATATTTTTTTCTTGCTAATTCACAACATCAATTCCTCTAATTAAAATTCTAAATAGCAAGCAATAGGGCTGGCAAGGAGCGGTGGAATAGGTCATTCGGCATGCTCTCCCACACAGTGAAGCTCTCCCAGCCCTCCAGCTTCAGATCCCTCACAGTCAGCCACGTGTTAAAATACTCCCTGAACTGCGTAATCAACCCATCTTTGAGGGTCCACGCATGGACCCAGTAGGCCTTGGCCCCTTCCCATCCCTCGGCAATGATCACACCATCTCCAATCTCTGTGATGCTTCTGGGCTCGAACCTGAAGTCAGTGTGGCTGGACTTCCCTGTGAGCACGCGCATCATGTGCTGGCTCTTTGGGGGGCCATGGAACCACCATTCTAGGTCACTGGCTAGAAGCTTTCCCACTGTGTCTGTTTTGCCCTGTGCCAATGCCTTGTAGAGAGCTTCAACAATTGCCTTGTTCTGCATTTTTGGTAGATTGTTAGAGAGGAGAGAGAGAGAGGGGAGATAGGAAGGGAGCGGGATTAACTAAGAATATTATTGGCTTTTGCTCTCTAATTTGGGTGCATGACAATATGGCTTTATTGGACCACTATTTATAGCGAAACGAAGAGCCTAAAGTTACATGGTTATGGTTTAAGAATAATAGAAAAATATTTAGATCCCTGTTAAGTTGTGACTGGTCATCGTCTCTCTTCTTACAAATACATCGTAGTTTTATATTTGTATATATTTTTATCTGCTTTAGCGATTTATTTGAGAAAATTGTAGTAATAATATTTCAACTTTTATTTAATTGTAGTAATGATCCATTAACAAAAAATTTATGATCATTGGTCCCTTAACTCATCAAAACTTGTACTTGTATTTTTCTTTTTAATTATTATTAAGCACATAAATAAGAATGATATGCTCAATTAATTATTTCTTACAAATTCAATCCTTATAAGTAAACATGCTTGTAATTTTTTTTTATTCAAATCATAACGTACAGATAAGAAGATATACATCACAAGTAAAGAGCTAAGTAGCCTTCTTGAGAATATACTATTTGTGGTGAACGATTATTTTCATGACATGTATGATTCAATGGTAAGGAATTGCTCCAAAAACAATGGATGTATCTACTATTTAGAATGAGATATTATTCTCCCTTCGGCTTATTAGATAATGATAATATGTTTTTTAATGAGGTTAAATATAATGATATTTAAATATTGATAAGCCTCTATGCTTTGTGGGGACAAAACGAAAGGGTTGGTTGTAATTCTTTTTAGCTATAGAATTGCCGATGAACACTAAAAAGTTGCTCATGTAACTTTACCTGTGCATCATCATCGAACAATTTTCTCTATTTTTTCTGAGATCTCTGTGCTCGAAATTGTGTTATACATACCTACATGTTTAGTTAAATTTCACATTCTAATAACTCCAAACTAATCTGACATGTTTTATTTTTGCATCATGATGAACCAGAAACTTGGTACGAAGATGTTTTTTTTTTTTTTTGGTCTAAACAAAAATATAGCTAGTATATATACATTTTTCACAAAATAAAACTAGACATAGTATTTATACATCTTTATTGTATTTGAAATATCATGTTAAAGATGAAGATGCCGCATCATGACTATAGTTTGTTATTAGTTGTTATAAGTTTGTTACAAATGTAATTAGCCTTAGTTGACAGTCAATAGCCAAAGGCTATATATATGTGATTGTATTATTCAGTTATCAATTAATGAGAAAATAATGTTTTCTTCATCTCTAAGAAAACTCTCTCTCTTCTCTCTCTCAAGAACTCTGAGTTTTTATATGGTATCCTTCACCTTTTGGCTCACGGCCGATTCGATCTTCTCTTCTGCTTCGTTTCTCTGATTCTCGATCTTTTCTTGCAATTCTTGTCTCTAATTGCAATGGCTTATCCGTCTGATTCTTCTTCTCCTCATGAATCTCTTCAGAATCCAGCCCCAAATCCTTCGTCAAACCCTAATTTGTTGAATTCGTATGCTTCTTTCACCATTCAAAACATCAAAAGCATGGTTCTGATTAAGCTCAAGAGATCGTACTACCTTCCATGGCGTGCTCTGTTTGCACCAATTCTTCGGTGCTATGAACTTCTCGGCATTGTTGACGGCACCGAGATGTGTCCACCGCTATTTCTTCCAGATCGCTCCATTAATCCAGCCTTCGAGATTTGGTATGAAAAGGATAAGAATCTTTTGATTTGGCTCAATTCTACACTCTCGGAAGATGTAATTCCTTTCACTGTTGGTGTGTCTTCTTCTCGAGATCTTTGGATCAAGCTTGAGTAGCGCTTCAGTGGTGTCTCTAATGCTCATATCCACCAACTTCGGTCTCGTCTTCAAGTAATTCAGAAAGTCACTCAACCTATGACGGATTATCTTCAACAATTGAAAGAAATCTCATATTCTCTCTCTGCTGCTGGTGCACCTATCTCTGATCGTGATTTAATGGCGGCTACGCTTGCTGGATTACCTGATGAATTTGAATCATTCATTAATTCTGTCATGTTACGCTCTCTTCCATATCTTTGGATGAGTTACATGGCCTTCTACTTACAAAGGAGCTTTCAATGTCTCATCGTAAGAAGCTTTCTTCTTCTGGCACTGAACCCTTTCATGCGTTTTCTATTCAATCTCAATCGCCTTTTCTTCCAACTCCACCACCTCAAATTTATGTTGCTTAACCTCAACATTTCTCTCGATCCAATTCTAATCGTGGAAGGACTACTACTTGGGGCAATCGACATCACAATACTGGACATTTCCATAATAATCGTAGTCACAAAGGCAATTATTGTGGCCCTTCATTCAATCACAGTCAAAATCAAGGGTTTCGACATTCATTTTTTTTTTTGGAAATCCAGTAACTTGTCAAATTTGTGGATCTACAAGTCATAAAGCCATTGACTGCTTTAATCGCATTACCAATGACATTGCCAACATTTCTTCACCAACTCCTTACACTGAGAAGGACAAAGTTTACATCGGTGATGATAAAGGTCTCTCTATACATCATATTGGTTATTCTTCGTTGCATTCATCCAATGCTACTTTTAAATTAAGCAATGTCATTCATGTTCCTCAAATAAAACATAATCTGTTATCTGCCTATCAATTTCTTAAGGATAACTATTATGTCTTAAGTCTTGACTATGATGGCTCTATTGTAAAAGATTGTTCTATGAGGATAACGCTTTTGCAGGATCTAGTTAAAGATGGTTTCTACCTTTTGCAAAGTTGTCCTTCCACTGGCTCTTCTCAGGCTCTGGTTAGTGCTTCAAGTTCAGTCAAACTTTGGCACAGTCGACTGGGACATCCTTCTTCTGCTGTATTTTGAAGAGTATTATCTAGTAATAAGCTTGCTATTCAAGGTACAACATTTGTTGATTTCTTTTGCTCCAAATGTGCTATAGCTAAAAATCATAAACTGTCATTTGGTTCATCAACTATATCAACATCTCAGTCTCTTGAACTCTTACGCTGTGATTTGTGAGGACCAGCACCTATCACTTCTGTAAGTGGTTTTAGGTATTATTTTCTCATAGCTAATGATTTTAGCAAATATAGCTAGTGTTTTCCTTTAAAGGCTAAATCAGATGTGTATTCTACCTTTGTAATGTTCAAGGCTTATGTTGAGAATCTTGTTGTCAATAAAATCAAGATCTTGTGTTCGGACTCAGGGGGTGAATTTACAAACTTACTGTTTAAATCATTTCTTCATATTCATGGCATTGTGTAGCAACTCAGTTATCCACACATACCAGAACAAAATGGTTGTGTTGAGAGGAAGCACAGGCACCTTGTTGAGATAACTAGGACTTTGTTAGTTGAATCTAGTGTCCTACATCACTGTTAGGTTGAAGCTTTTACCACTACCTTTTGTCTCATTAATAGGCTACTTATATCTAGCAATACTAAATCACCTTGGGAGTTGTTGTTTCATAAGTATCCATATTACTCCAAGCTTAAGGTCTTTGGTTGCAGTTGCTATCCATGGTTAAAACCATACATTTCTGCTAAGTTTGATGGGAAAAGAAAAAGGTGTGCTTTCTTGGGCTATAGCTTACAACACAAAGGTTATAGATGTTTGGATTTGGACACCAATAGGGTTTATATCTCACGGCATGTTACATTTGATGAAGTTACATTTCCTTTTAAAGATGTTAAGCCTATTTCAGCATTTGTTGATCAATCCACATCTCTGTTATCCCCTATTGATGTTCACTTTCCTCTACCCTTGACATCTATGCCTATTGTACCTGTGTCTGTATATATGCCTAATGTGCCTATGCAATCTGACTCCTTTATACACAAAGATCATCCTCCCAAACTATGTAACCTCAACAAAGCTCATCCTCCCAAACTGTGCATGTGCATTTTTCTCAATTTGCACCAAATGTTCATCCTATGATTACCAAATCCAAAAATGGCATTTACAAACCTAAAGTCTTCACTGCCACTAGGCATCCCTTTCATTCTTCCACATATATCATTCCTCATACTTATCTTCAAGCTTCTAAGTTTGAAAATTAAAGATTGGCAATGCAAAATGAATTCAATGCTCTCTTGTCTACTGGTACTTGGACCTTGTTCCTTCCTCACCCTCGCAAAATGTAGTTGGTTGTAAATGAGTCTTTAGAATTAAAAAGAATCCTGATGGATCTATTGAGAGATATAAAGCAAGACTTGTTGCTAAGGGTTTTCATCAAAATGAAGGTCTTGACTAACAAGAACCTGTAGTCCAGTTGCAAAGCCTGTCGCTATTAGGTTTTTGTTATCATTTGCTGTCCAATTTAATTGGTTTCTCAATCAACTGGACATAAGTAATGCATTTTTGCATGGTGACTTACAAGAAGATGTTTTCGTGACACAACCTCTTGGTTTTCAAGATCCTACCAAGCCACATCATGTTTGCAAACTTAGAAAGTCTCTCTATGGGCTTAACGAAGCTCCAAGAGCTTGGTTTGACAAGTTGTTTCAAGCTCTCAAATATCTAGGGTTTAGTCAATCTTCATCTGATGCATCTATGTTTGTACTTAAAGCTCCAACTCTAGTTATAGTACTAGTCTTCGTTGATGATATTCTAGTTAGTGGACCTGATATTAATATCTGCAAGTAGTTTATAGAGAAATTGAGTACTCTATTTCAAGTCAAAGATCTGGGCCATTGCACTACTTTCTAGGTTTAGAAGTCCAAAGAACCACTAATGCTTTGTTTCTTCATCAAAGCAAGTACCTGTTTGATTTGTTACAGAAAACAAACATGGGTGAAGCTAAACCATGTTATACTTCTCTCAATTCTACCAAGTTAGATCACAGTGGTGAATTACTTGATAACCTAACTGAATACAGATCTTTTGTGTGTGCTCTTCAATACTTAACTCAGATAAGGCCTGATATTTCCTTTGTAGTGAACCAGGTCTGTCAATTCATGCATGCACATACTGTCATTTATATGCAAGCAGCTAAATGCATATTGAGATTTCTCAAATGTACAATTGCTCATGGCCTGTCAGCCTACTCTGATGCAGACTGAGCTGGTTGTCCCTATGATAG